CAAGGCCGAAATTTTTCTTCTAAATTGTTGGGGGAAGTGTGTGCGGCTCTTGGAACTAATAAAATACGGACATCTCCCTACCACCCACAAACGGATGGTATGGTCGAACGGCTAAATCGGACTTTGCCCGCCATGTTGTGTCACACGGTGAGTGAAAAACAATCAGATTGGGATTTGCATATCCCTGGGGTACTTTCGGCATACCGGATGACGCCGCATGCGGCTGCAGGATATTCGCCCTTTTTCTTTATGTACGGTCGTGAAAACGTGCCGCCGATGGATGTGCAGTTGGGAACTGGAGTGAGGGGACCTGCTAAGCCTCTTCCTGATTACATTCAGGACACCGTTCACCGTGTTACTGAGGCACGGGAAGGGGCCCGCATGGCTACGGCCAAAGCCCAGGCCCGGAACGAGCGGTGTGCTCGACACTCTAAGGGGGAGTGCCCCTGGAAGGTGGGGGAGCTGGCCTGGCTCCATTGCCCACAGGTGCGGCCAGGTACCTCTTCTAAATTACATAAACCATGGCAAGGGCCGGTTCGCCTCATCGAGGTTCCCAACCCACAGTCGGCGCGTGTTCGGTTTGGATCTCGGCGTTGGTTCGTTCACACGTCTCGCTTGAAACTATATGTGGCCCCTCGACCTGATGCGTCATCTCCTGATGTTGCCTTGCCGGAGTCTGTTGCTGCCGACTCACCCTTGCCTGTGCCTGTTGACCTTGCAAGAGCGCCTATCGTGCCTTTTACAGACAAGCCGGCCGTGACACCGCAGGAGACAGGGGGCTCTGCTTGGGGTGTGCCTACCACGGCTCCGGGAACTCCGAGCCCCGCAGCCCTTCCGACCCCGCCGCAGACACGATTGCGGGACACCTCCGACGCTGGGCCTTCAGGGATACGGGACCGGGACGTTGGCGGGCCTAAAATAGCGACAGGAGGACCTCATCCTGTTGCTCCTAAAACCCCGTCACGTTCCCGGACTGCAGGAGGGCCGCCGCCCGTCCGGGACGGGCCGGCGACCCGCACGTGGTCGAAATCCCTTATATTTCGTTGAATTTTACTGTTGTGTTCTTGTTGTTATTGTTATATTTATTGTATGCTTCGTTGTCCTTGCATGTGTGATGGTTGTGTTCGCTTGCATTACTTGTTGTCGATTTTTTCAGCCGAGGTCGGCTGGATTTTTCTCTACGGGGGAGGGTGGTGTAATGCGGGCGTAAATGGCCTCGCGGATATGACGTCACAGGGGGAGGAGTTAGGTCACGTGAGAGAGAGGGATGAGGTCTTAAGGGAGAGATACCGGAAGAGACGGGGGGGAGTTGGAGATAGAGACAGAGTGAGGCCACCCAGGGCGGAGGTTGGAGAGTGGCGAGATCGCCACACACACAGTAAGACTCGGCACCGTCGGCCAGCGGTGACCGAGCACGGAGGAACGGGGAGCAGCAGTGGGGCTGCAGTGAGGGCAGCCGGAGGCCTGCACGAGGGAACCAGCAGCGGAGCTGCATCGGAGTGGAGAGAGGCTACGGGAGCGACGGCAGCATCGAGCTGCCAAGCGGGGAGCCTCTGAGCGAGGGCCGTGTGGGACAAGTTGTAAAGAACCCGAATAAAGGACAACGGAGACAGACACAGTGAACGAGTCCTTTACTACAAAAGGAATACGTTAGATCATACATTGGCTGCGCTGAATTCAGATTGGGTTGCGTGCTTGGCAGCGAGCGAAGGGAATGCGCTGCTGCAGAGTGATGAGGAACTGGGAGGGTTCCGGGATTCGTAATGTCGGCGTGCTTGGCAGCAGGCAAGGGTAATGCGCTGCTGCAGTGTGACGAGGAACCAGAATGGTTCTGGGATTTGTGATGTATGCGTGCTTAGCAGCGGACGTAGGAAATACGCTACCGCAGTGTTACGAGGAACCGGAGTGGTTCTGGGATTTGTAATGTATTGATGATTTGACATCCGAGCAGGGGACACGTCTCCGTAAGCTGTTTTTGAAATTTTCATAACGTCTTTAGCTCAAGGAAATATGGTGTCGGTCGCACGTCCCTGTTGAAACATCACCGGATTGCAGTGGGAGTCATGTTGATTTAGCTGACGACGTCATTGTGTTGTAAGAATTTTGAGGCAAAATTGCAACGGTTGTGAACTGAGTTGGCTGGTTACGGGACGCTAATCTGAAATTCTAAACCCAAATATGCCATTTCGTTGAGAACGCCTGTCAAGTATTGGGTCATGCTGTCAGCGCGGCGGGAGTGCCACTGACCAGGTGAAAAACGAGTTAGGTACGCACGTGGCCAATGCCGAAAACAGTATCAGAGTGCGTAGCTTCATGGAAATTGCGTCATACTACCGTCGATTTGGTTGAATTTTTGTTACGATTGCGAGGCCACTGCATACGCTGCCGCTAAGGGTGAAAAGTTCCTATGGGATGATGAAGAACAGCGTTTGTTGAAACGCTTCGGGACGCGTTAGCAGACGCACCGCCGCTCGGATATCTAAATTTTGAAGAGATGGTTGCTATTCAGTGGCCTAAAATAAAATATTTCGCTCCGGATGATCACTACAAAGTATGACCTGTGTTTTGATTTAGCGTGCAGATCTTAAAGGTGTATTGAAAAATTATAATACTCCGATTGATGCTCCTGCTGTTGTGGAGTGACTCATGCAGCCAGCTATGGCTGCAGGGTTTTGGTAGTACATGTTATTTATGATATTTATTGTGAAAATTCCGTCACAGTTCCTATGATTGCTTTTTCATTGCTTTCATGGCTTTATTTTGGTGATTTCGAAAAGTGTATTGGTTTAGACATGTTTGTTTGTTGTAGTACAGAGTTAGACTGATGGCCTTAATCTAAGTTGTCTTGTGGTTGTTGTTGTTGTTTGATTTGCATCCCACTGGGATTTTTGCACACAGCGTTGGTGTACGGTGTTTTTTCTGCAATATTTTTGCTGTCTTTTCTTGGATTTTCTGTTTGCACTTAGTCACATATTCACTTTAAGATTTTTTTGTTCATGTTTTTGTTTTTTGTTTGTTGCGGTTGCACCCGATTCAAGAGCCGAATGGCTCACAGGGCTATACCTAATAAATTAACTTGAACTTGTTATTGCGGGGATAATCGATGGAGTGGAAAGAGTCATTGCATACGGCAGCCGTGTGCTGTCTGCTGGCAGAACAAGAATGTTGTGTAACGCGCAGAGAATTGTTGGCGATTACATGCTTCATGCAGTTGTTTCGACCATATTTGTTTGGGATATCGTGTTGCTGAAATGTTGTATTATGGTACCATTGTGCTTGAGGGTAAAAGTTATTCGCGATGCGCGCGAGTGTTGATGCACTTGGGGGTAAAGGTAACCGCATTGACTTGGATAACGATTTTACTGGCCGGGATTGCATAACGATGTTCATTGTACGCAAAGCATGTAATGGGTGCGCGCGGCGAGAGGCGCCGGCCCTGGCGGGTCCCGTCGAGTTGTGGAAATTTGTAGGGACCAGAGTATGAGGATTCGGTGCGGTCGCCGATGGTGGCATGTTCACCCGTCGCGGTTAAATAAATATGTCATACCATATGATGCGTCATCTCCCATCCCGGAACGGCCTGTATTGGATGTGTCCGACAAGCGTACCGTGCAACGACGGGAGAACGCACCTCAGCAGTCTACTCCCGGTGTGTCTGCAGGATCGCCATTTTTGAGTCAGGAGACACCCCGGGACACACGAGACCACGTTGGGGTCTCATCGAGGAATGGCCGGTGTAACGAAGATGGGCGCACGTTTCGGACAGGATGCTGCCCCGCACCCACGGACAGATACACCCTGCCCCCTGTTCAGTCGAGCCGGGGTGACGGACCGGCTGCGGGATCCGGCTCAAGAAGATTGACTTTTTCATAAAATTTTGGGAGACATGGACGTTGGGGGTCGTGCCCGGGGGGGGGGGGGGGGGGGGGGATCGTGTACTTTTTGTTGTATGTTGTGTTTTCCGCGTGATGCGTTGTGTTTAGCCGGGACGGCTAACTTTTTCAACAGGGGGGGTGATGTAGGAGCTGAGATGACACACGCCACGCGGTTGGTTGCGGAGCGAGCTTGCAACGGACAGTGGGGGGCAACTGAGGACATAGAGTTGTTGTTGCGCCAATTAAGGGGGGAGGTCATTAAGAGACGCCACAGGTGTTAAGGATAACTGAGGACGCAGGCCGGTGATTGGTCGAGAGAGTAAGTGTCTACGAAAACAACATCATGTGACATCACGTGAGGCTGGGGGCCTGGGGGCGAGTAGCGAAGCGGGGGATGACATAATTAATTTGGGCTGATTGGTTCGGGGATAAAGGCAGAGCGTAGCGGAGAAACGGGAGGCTTGGGGAGTGTTGGAGTTGGAGCTGGAGACGGTGCCTGGGACAGAGACGGAGCAACAGAGAGTATAGTATAAGGTAGCAGTGAATAAGAGAGTATAGTATAAGGTAGCAGTGAATAGGAGTGTACAGTATAAGGTAGCAGTGGATAAGAACATCTAGTATAAGGTAGCAGTGGACAAAGAGAATACAGTATACGGTAGCAGTGGATATAGAGAGTACGGACAGAGTAGCAAGGACGGAGCGAGTACAGCGTAGCGAGCAGCAGAGTATCGGACCTGAGTGGAGAGAGAGAAAGCGAGCGAAGCGGAGCGAGCGAACGGAGGAACATTGAACGATGCTGTCGGAGATGTGAACTATATGCGGAATAAAAGGAACGAGAAAGACAAAGAAGTTGTCGCGTCAGTAACAGTCCTACACTAGTAACGAATTGGCAGATTGATTAAATTCATTGCCGCACTGCCATCTTGTGGTCACATTGCAACGTGTGTTAACGACAGTGAGGTGTTTTTGACCTATGCTCATATATATCAATACATTCCTTGTCATTGTATTTGGATATATTGTAAACACACTATCATATGGACGTGCAGTAAGTTGTGCTTGTGAAATATAGAAATCCTCCTCCATTAAGTGGTGACAGTTAAATATGCGTGTTGTCCAACTCACCTCTGTACTTCAGCTTTTGCGGTTTCTTGTTGGGGCAGTCTCTGCCAGAAAAGTTGAAGTTGATGTTGGTGCGGACGCATCTGCTACTGAGCGTTTGAGTTGGCCTGAAATTGTCGTTCATACTCAGAAAGATCTGAGATGGAAGGTTTTGGCTAAGTAGTCGAAGGGAATGCATCTGTATGAAAGAGGTGAACACACAATGGATTTTACAATTCTAAACATCTGACTGCTAAAGTGTCAATGATGTACTGCTGAAGTCAGTGGACGCGCATCCCGCAAATGTTATCATTGGTGGGGGTACTGGTCTGAGGGAAGGGCGGATGTGCCTCGTCACTCAATATCCTCCGGGTGTAAGCACTCCCAAGGTCCCATTATGCTAACCATTTCACTTCAAAAATACTCCATCAGATAAACGTGCAGAGCCATATATGGGTTTGAAATATATTGCTACTTGAATAAAGTGAAAGGGCTCAAATCTCATCTTTATGAATTCCGTTTTAACACGTAGGCTTTCGCGACCAATATTAGTCATCAAGTTTTTTGGGTTAGATCGCGTAAGTATAAATGTGTCATAACCCTCCACCACCTGACACAGCCAATAAGGTTTGTCACGTAAACAAAACGCGCCAACAACCCGGTGGGCTGAAGTAGTAACTAAATGATTAATTCAACAAATTATTCGGTGAGATTGCGTTGGAAGTGGAGCACAAATAACAACAAAAGCTAAAACCTCAACACGTCAATAACTCTGGCGATGTTTCGGCAATGACCCTTCTTTACAGCTCAAAGGCTAAGGGAAGCCCATTGCATGTCGATAAATGTGTTTTTAAAAAATCAGGTCTGTAACATTTGTTTCTAGGTCCTTAAACCATGAAATGCGAAGAAATGCAAATTACGTGGAGCGATGTGCTTTTGCCCATTTTGTTTTCGTGGAGTTGAGTGTGTTTGTTTTTGCTCAGCCAGGGTAGGAGAGGCCCAGAGAGCTAAAACAACGCTTTCCCAAGGGTGACCCAGGGGGACACGGGGAGAACAGGGGATAAGAAATATGCCTCGTCATATCCCACCTCTCTTTTCAGCATCCTGAAATATTGTTGTTATTTATATCATGGGACCTTTTTTAGCCTTCCCAAAGAAGGCTGTCTCTGGTGTAGGCTAATCAGTTCCAAAAACTGCATATATTCATTAATTATCAGAGCATTTTTGTTTGCACGTTCATCACAAGTGCGTGTGATTAATGCAGACTTGATTCCTTGCAAATTGGTGTTTGAACATCTTAACACCCCCTGTTTTATTGCCAGAAATGGTAAAACCTATTCTTATTTTTCATACTGTTGTGTTAATTCACTAACCATAGGAATCATAATACTTATTGTATGTATATTTCAAACTAAGTTATATTATGATAATTTAATAAGTTTTACCGTGGAATTATATGGGATTCCATGGAATGAATTCCATGTATTTGTGCCATTATAGCGCAATGCTAGGGTAAAACTCTACTGTATGTAATCCCAAAAGAGTAGTTTAACATGTAGTAGGCTTTCATGACCAATATTATATTATCCATAATAGAGGGTTTTGGGTTAGATCACGTGAATATAAATGTGTTGTTAAACCCGCCACCACCTGACACAGCCAATTAGTAAGGTTTGTCACGTAAACAAAACGTGCCAATTGGTTACGAGTTCAGCACACCGGTGTGTTGCAGAGTAAACCCACAACATTTACTTACAGAGTAAGTCAATTAACTTACGTTGTCCCCAGTTTAGTCAGCTCTGCTGCTCGGAGCTAAATGTTGACGCTATTACAGTATAGGCAACTGACTTCAGCGAGTGTTGAGAAATACACTTTGGGTCAGTTGTTGGATATCAATTTTTTTGTTATTTAATTTAAAACAGCGAAATATTTATCATTTTTAAGTGCAGCTAATGTGCTCAAAATGAGCGCTGGGCAGCCTTGTTCAACATGCCTGACAACAGTGGCCTAAATTAATCAATGTACACAACCCATTCAGAACTCTTTGGCATTAAGCAAAGGCTATGCAAGTGGTTTATTGAACATTGTCCTGACATAATTAGATTTTCTGTGCCCCTTACATTTGTCCGAGTTATTCCAAACCATTTTAAGGACGACCATGAAAATGTGTATAATATGTACATGGAAATTGTGAGATAGATCTGTCAACTGACCTAAGCAAGAGAGAAGTACACAGTGTCACTGACCTGCAGGTGAGTGATATACACTGGTTTGTTCATGACGATCCAGGTGACGGTCTCATAGCAGGGTGGCGTCGTCATGGATCCTTCGTATGTGATGTAGCTTGACGTATCTGGGTAGAGTTCTTCGACAGATAGACCCTGAAGCAGGTAGGCGTCATCTGAAATAAAATGCAACAATGTTCGATGAGTCGGTGTCAGGAGACAAAATAATTCAGCTTGGAACTTTCAGAGACCAAGTGCATCACCCCATTATTGAGAACAGCCTGTGGATGGAGATACCACAACACTAATTCTGAGATCCCTGTGAGTAACCTCTTATCTGCACTAGCAAAATTGCACTTTTATGCAACATTTAGAATCAACGTGCGTTTAGAGTATTTGGGCTGCTATAAATTTCCACATGGTGAGCCACTTCGTTGAGCTATCATTCATGGCCAAGTCGCTTCTGAAAAAGAGCTATATAGCTCAGTGGGCCTTACCTGGAAAAATAGTTCCGTGACTAGTGTTGGTGCATTTTAATGCTTTTGTCTACCGAAGCAACTTATTGTGACCACGCGCTCAGATGCACACCTGATCCAGACACCTTCAGCTCTCTTGTGTGCAAACACTCACCCCACTCTCACAGAACCGACTTCATTACAATCATACTTATTTGCATAAACCCTTGTGGAAATATCCACATTTTCACGTTGATTCAGAGAGGTGTTTATTATAATTTCGCGTTTTTACCCAGAAAAGCCTCGCTGGTTTCTCAAGGCTATTTTTCAGGAGGGTCATGCCAGGTTTTAACAGTAGGGGGCAATGTTGCTGGTGCTGTATGATCCCAACTGAGTAATTTTCAGGCAATTTTTCAGAATCCCGGATTGTTGGTCAATACCGTCTACATTGTACGTGTTATTTTTTGCACAAACAGTGGCCTCTAATTTGTTCATTATTGTGTTTCTATTGATCTTCGTCAGCGATTTAAATATACACATGTGATAAGAGGATAATGGGTCTATCATTTATTACGTTGGCTTTATCGTCCTTTTGAAAAAAGCGATGATTGATGCATCAAGCCACGATTGCAGTTTTATATACCGTGTAAACATTTCACTAATAAGCCCTGGCAATATTAATCAATCTACGCGGGGGGTACTTGTTGCCTGCTCACTCTCTGCGATTTTTCACGGTCAGCCACTTTGGTGCATCGACCTCAATTCGGAAATGTCCTGTAAAATGTATGAAGCGTAAAGCACGGCACCTTCACACCAATAGCCCTCATGTTATACGAGTGGCACAAATACAAAATGTGCTCATTAAATCTATATTGCGGCTCCATCTCCACCGTAGTCATCCCACCTGCACGTTCAAAAACATTGTCCATGCTGAATGAGCGCCCAGACCATGTAGTACTAGCAGCAACACTACAGTGAGGGAAAAAAGTATTTGATCCCCTGCTCATTTTGTACGTTTGCCCACTGACAAAGAAATGATCAGTCTATAATTTTAATGATAGGTTTATTTGAACAGTGAGAGACAGAATAACAACAACAAAATCCAGAAGTACGCATGTCAAATTTTTTATAAATTGATTTGCATTTTAATGAGGGAAATAAGTATTTGACCCCCTGCAAAACATGATTTAGTACTTGGTGGCAAAACCCTTGTTGGCAATCACAGAGGTCAGACGTTTCTTGTAGTTGGCCACCAGGTTTGCACACATCTCAGGAGGGATTTTGTCCCACTTCTCTTTGCAGATCTTCTCTAAGTCATTAAGGTTTCGAGGCTGACGTTTGGCAACTCGAACTCTTCAGCTCCCCACACATATTGTCTATGGGATTAAGGTCTGGAGACTGGCTAGGCCATTCCAGGACCTTAATGTGCTTCTTCTTGAGCCACTCCTTTGTTGCCTTGGCCGTGTGTTTTGGGCCATTGTCATGCTGGAATACCCATCCACGACCCATTTTCAATGCCCTGGCTGAGGGAAGGAGGTTCTCACCCAAGAGTTGACGGTACATGGCCCTGTCCATCGTCTCTTTGATGCGGTTAAGTTGTCCTGTCCCCTTAGCAGAAAAACACCCCCAAAGCATAATGTTTCCACCTCCATGTTTGACGGTGGGGATGGTGTTCTTGGGGTCATAGGCAGCATTCCTCCTCCTCCAAACACGGCGAGTTGAGTTGATGCCAAAGAGCTCTATTTTGGTCTCATCTGACCACAACACTTTCACCCAGTTGTCCTCTGAATCATTTAGATGTTCATTGGCAAACTTCAGACGGGCATGGATATGTGCTTTCTTGAGCAGGGGGACCTTGCGGGCACTGTAGGATTTCAGTCCTTTACGGCGTAGTGTGTTACCAACTGTTTTATAGGTGACTATGGTCCCAGCTGCCTTGAGATCATTGACAAGATCCCCCCGTGTAGTTATGGGCTGATTCCTCACCGTTCTCATGATCATTGCAACTCCACGAGGTGAGATTTTGCATGGAGCCCTAGGCCAAGGGAGATTGACAGTTCTTTTATGTTTCTTCCATTTGCGAATAATCGCATGAACTGTTGTCACCTTCTCACCAAGCTGCTTGGCGATGATCTTGTAGCCCATTCCAGCCTTGTGTAGGTCTACAATCTTGTCCCTGACATCCTTTGAGAGCTCTTTGGTCTTGGCCATGGTGGAGAGTTTGGAATCTGATTGATTGATTGCTTCTGTGAACAGGTGTCTTTTATACAGGTAACGAGCTCAGATTAGGAGCACACTCTTAAAGGGAGTGCTCCTAATCTCAGCTTGTTACCTGTATAAAAGACACCTGGGAGCCAGAAATCTTTCTTATTGAGAGGGGGTCATTTCCCTCATTAAAATGCAAATCAATTTATAACATTTTTGACATGCGAATTTCTGGATTTTGTTGTTATTCTGTCTCTCACTGTTCAAAACCTACCATTTAAATTATAGACTGATCATTTCTTTGTCAGTGGGCAAACGTACAAAATCAGCAGGGGATCAAATACTTTTTTCCCTCACTGTATAACAACCTTCGTCTACGCCAGGGGTCGGCAAACCTGCGACTCCGGAGGCGCATACGGCAGCTCTTTAAGGACCGCTGCTTCGTTGAACTTATTTATTACGGATCACCATCTCGTATTCACGTTGCATTGCGGCTCTTGAAATATTGGGTTTTTGTTGACCGAATTCAACAAAAAAAGGCTTTTGTTATTATTTTGGTTACCGACCCCTGGTCTAGGGCATCATTATTGTTGGCAATTTCATCGTCATCATTAGTCCACCTATCATCATCATCTTCACCAATCCATCATTATCATCATTATCAATCCAATGAGCATCATCATCATCTTCGTAATTATTCATGCATCATCACCAGCATCAATACATCACCTGCAATGTTATTACAGCATTTCTGTAAGATGATGATTGCTTGTGTTGCAATCGAAACGTCGTACGCTAGTATTTAATTTAATTTATTATTTTATCTTTATACGTGACTTTACCGAAAGAACCAAAGAATAATTCCTGAAGTCACGAAAGCTCCAAATTAAGTTTGAACCACTTCTACGGGGAAGTTTTAAGTTTGTTTTCTCTCTCTCTCTGGGTTTTTTCGTTGTCTCTCTCTGCCTGTGTATCGGTCTTCGTGTCTGTGTTTTTTCAAATTTTACACTTAATATCTAATTTAGCAATCTTTGGAATAACGTAATCAACCAGGCTATGCGTTAATTGTGTGTTGACCGACCCTCTGTGTTGCATTGCATTATATTTCGAAATTTTTGCTTGGTTATTTAATTTAGTGTGTCTCTCTCCCTGCCTCCTAATTTTTTCAAGCTTTCGCGCACCGTACCACTCATCGTGCTACTCATTGACATGCTAATTTCTCTAACCCCTCCCTCTCTCCCCGCCCCCACCCCCCCTCTCTCTATTTAAGGCCTCGACACAGAGGCGTAGTTTCTCTGTGTTCCTATGTTTGTGCTCTCTCTATGTATCTCTGTGATATCTGTCTGCTTATATGTCTGTCTATATGTTTATGGTTCTGTGTTTTATCTCTCTCTCAAATTTTTGCATTCTCAGGAAGAACGTAATCAACCAGATAGGGTGTTGACTGTTATGTTATCCGACTCTCTGTTGTATTACATTACATTTCTAAGTATACTAGATTTGTGTTTCTATTTAATTTATACCTGATGATGATTGCTTGTGTTGCAATCGAAACGTCGTATGCTAGTATTTAATTTAATTTATTATTTTATCTTTATACGTGACTTTACCGAAAGAACCAAAGAATAGTTTACTTTCAATGGGGAATATTGAATGCAAACATTGGGCAATGAGGTTGGCGCATTGATAACACTTGTGGGAGATGGCGCATTGATAACACTTGTGCCTCACAGCAAGTACGCCTTGAGTTTAATTCCCAACTTGGGCGACTCTCTGTGCGGAGTTTGTAAATCACCTGTAAACAAGCAGAATAAATAAATAATAATACATTTTAATGGAAACGTCCAATGTTGGTATATTTTTCTCCCACACAACAGACAATTAAGAGCCCCTTACTTTTGTATGCGATTCTTGTTATGGTGTCTCGGTTGAGCAGTCTGTCCAAAAACCGGTTAGTAGTCTCCGACACCTGCACGTCAGTAAAGTTGGGGGGGGGGGGGGGGGGGGACGCATGGCAGCTCGCATCTGAAGTAGCTTCAATAATTGACATTTTGAAGTCATGCCACGCTGCTCATGAATACCAAAACAAACCTCTCAAGTTGAACTGTGGAACTGCGACGAGTGGGTAGGGGCGTGAGATTGACTCGTGAGGGGAGGTTGGCGGGCACAAGGAAGGGGATCGCGATGTTTGCCCCGTGGTGGCGAGATAAGATGTCATCTCCCTCGGCTGCTACGCGTGAGGTCATGGGTTCGATCCTGACCCTGATGATGGCCGTTATACATCTGGAGTTGGCGTGTTCTCTCTCCCCGTGGTCACGTAGATTTTTTTCTAGGCTCCTCCAGTGTTTGCCCTCCAAATGCTTGGATTATTTGGCTGCTGCTATAAATTCCCACGAGTGATGATGATAGTAAAGCCACTACGATGTGTGGCCAGGTCACCACTGAACAGGAGTTAATGGCGCAGAGGGCTTTACCTGGTAAATAAAACAGTAGTAGTACTCGTAGAATATTTCCATGCCATTAAAATGTTTGAATCATTACTTCTCCATCGATAGCATTAGTCCTTCGCTTAATGTACAAGATTTGAGAAGTTTAACATTATTTTGCCTCACTCCTTAACGAAGTGAATATGTATTCTTAAGAAGTTGGTGCGTATTAGGTCGGGAAGTTAATATTATTGACACCACCGCACCTCACCATCACTCCCTTCTCCTAGATCTTCCAGCTATTGTGGTACAACAGATTATTATAATTTAGTTTATATATATATGAAAAAAATTTGCAGCCAACACTTTTGCCATTGCAGGCAGAGTTGGCATCTCCCACTGTGTAAAAACTGTGAAGGAGTTAAAGGCACAATTGAAAAATTCTACCAGTTCACGTGCTGCCTCAACATGCACATACAGGTGCGATGTCACATCGGCTCTGGAGGAGATCCTATGAATGGCCAAAATGTCTCAATTTATTGTCTCAATAACCCAAGGGCCGTGCGAGTCTGTGGACTTGATCCTTCGCCCCTCTGTCCCACCTGTCATCCCTGTCTCCCCTTCCTTGTGGTGAGGGCAGTCACTGTACATGTAGTCATCGACTTACGAACACCCGACTTACGAACGCCTGAACTTGCGGTCGCCCGACTTACGAACGCCCACACTTACGAATGCCCACACTTACGAATGCCCACACTTACGAATAGCCGCACTTATGAACGCCCACACTTATGAACACCCGCACTTACGAACACCTGGACTTACGAACACCTGACCTACGAACACCCGCACTTATTAACAACTGCACTTACGAACCAACTCGCACCTACCTCATGCTAGGATTGAGTGCTTGTGTGTGTGTTTGTGGGCATTTAAATACGGTAGATTACTGTGTTCCGACTTACGGACGGGTCTCAGGAACTAATTGTGTTCATAAGTCGATGACTGCCCATACATGTTTGACTGATGCGAAAGATCTGCCACTCACAGAGTACCCTATTTCCATGTTGACCCCCCCATGAGGTCACGCATGTGTAGCACCATAGATGGGCCGCACTTACCTGCAATGGTGGATAGGGCCCATCAAGGGCGGTACCTTGTACCGCCAGGGGAGGGGCTGCATTGCCCAGCCCAAGAGCGGGGGGGGGGGGGGTTCCAAGATCCCACGCAGCCCTGCCCCTCGATATCAAGGTGCATAAAGGGGACCTCCCCAGTAGCTCGGGATCAGTCGCAGACCGAAGCAAGAAGACCAGCCAGCTTAGGATCCTGGACCCCCTCGCCCCGCTGTCCTTGTAAGGGATGGGGCACTGTGCGGGCAAGTGGTGAGACTCTGGGACTACTGGCCCGACGCCCTTGAAAGGGCGAGGTCTGAGGAAGCTAGTGGTCTAGACCCGCACCTTGGCTGGGTCGGGTCAGGTAGCCTCCCCTAGGGTAATCATAGCCGGAGGACCTGGGAACGTAGACGAGGCTAGGCACGCTACGTAGATAGGCTGTGTAGAAGACCTTTGTGAATAGGCTGGGAATTAAGTGTATAAGTACGTGGTGTGTGGAAATAAAGACGTGTCCTCTACAAGTGTCTCCGGAACCCATTACATATGTATTTTTGATGGTGGCTCTGAAGTAGTGGTGTGGGTAACCTGTGGCCCTTGCAGCCCCTCATGGTGGCCTTGCTCACATCTAAAACAATCTGGGTTCCAAAAAAAATACAGCACCACATCTGCTGCATTAGACTCTCTGAATCACATTTACAGTAGCCTTGATAATAAGCAGTACTGCACCAGTCTTTTTCTTGACTTGTCCAAAGCCTTTGATACAGTCGACCACAACACCCTGCTTAGTAAACTAAGTTGCCTCGGTTTCTCCAAACACGCAGTAGAATGGTTAAAAAACTACCTCTTTTCTTGCACCCAAACTGTATTCACAGATGGTTTGAGGTCAAACAATGTTAAGATAACAAAAGGGATTCCACAGGGTTCCATCCTCGGCCCCCTCTTGTTCTCTCTTTATGTCAATGACCTGGATAATTCCAGGGTAAATCTTTTTGCAGATGACACAATACTGATTACTGCTGGCCGCTCTCCGGATGACGTGATTGCTAAGCTCCAGGGTGATTTCAACAAACTACAACATCAGCTAGTTGCTCTTGAACTAGTCCTGAATACCTCCAAAACCAAGGTGCTATGCTTCTCACCAGGACTAAAGCAGGAAGTTATTTTTCCACCATTACATTCTTTAAATAATTATCAAATAGAGCAAGTCAAGATCTATAAGTATCTTGGGGTCATCCTGGATTCAAAACTAAAATTAGAAGATCACATTGATTATATTGGTAAAAAGACAAAAATAAAAATTGGTTTTCTGTATCGGCACAAGCACTGCTTCCCCCTTATGTTCTGTTTGGAATTGATAAAAGCTACCATACTGCCTCTACTTGATTACTGTGACTTCGTATACAAATCAGCCCCAAGCACTGTACTGAAGAAGCTTGACTCAATTATCACTCGGCCTTAAGATTTGCATTGAACTGCCCATATAAGACTCACCACTGTGATCTCCACATTGGGTCAAACTTAACATCTCTTAATGTTCGACGGCTTGTGCATCAGATCTTATTTATTCACGATGTACTTACAAAAAAATCCGCAGACTATCTGCTGGATCTCCTCTCTGTTTCGAAGAACAAATGTGACCTAAGTTCTTCGCTCATGTATCAGCTTCACATTCCTTATTGCTATACAAATACTGGAGGAAGTAAGGGCCTTTGCTATTGAGGCACCCAGGGTCTGGAATGCAATTGCCAATAAACTGCAACTTGAATAACTACCTATGAGATCTTCACTCAAAACTGCTCTCGAGGAGTTGTACACCCCGAGCTACCACTGCTATTCAGTGTCCTAAAATAAAATGTTTTCGTTCCGGATGACCGCTGCAACGTATGATATTGTGTTTTGATTTAGTGTGCTGATCTTTAAAGATGCATTTGAAAAAATGTGATACTCCTACTGATGCTCCTGCTGTTGTGGAGTGACTCATGCAGCCAGCTATGGCTACAGGGTTTAGTGGTACATGTTGTTTATGTCGTTTATTGTGAAATTTCGGTAAAAGTTGCTATGATCACTGTTACATTGCTTATGGCTTTATTTTGGTGATTTCGAAAAGTTTTTTGGTTTGGCCATGTTTGTTTGTTGTAGTACGGAGTTAGAATTATGGCTTTAATCTAAGTTGTCTTGTGGTTGTTGTTGTTGTTTGACTTGCATCCCGCTGGGATTTTTGCACAGCGTTGATGTACGGTGCTTTTTTTGTGGAAGACTTTGCAGTTTTTTCCTGGATTTTCTGTTTGCACATAGTCACTTTAAGATGTTTTCTTGATCATGTTTTTGTTTGTTGCGGTTGCACCCGATTCAAGAGCTGAATGGTTCACAGGGCTATACCAAATAAATTAAACTGAAAAATGAAACTGAAATGCGTGGGGTCGTGACGAGTGCACAATGCACGATGCCAAGCCTGCGGCCCACTGAGGTGCAGGAGGGCTGCTCACGTGGCCCCACTGACTATAGTCTGGGTTGCCCATCGCTGCCCACGGTGGCGAATTATTAACTCTATCACCTGGTATACAGGAGGACGTGAGTTCGATCCCGACTCTGACGCCTAGTGTATATTTGGAGTTTGCTTGTCTCTTTCTCTCTCTCCCTGTGGTCACGTGTATTTTCCTCCGGATCTTCTGGGTTTTTTCCCCCACATCCAGAAACATGCATTTAGAGGATTTGGCTGCTATACATTTCCATGTGATGATCAGCCCACGTGATGATCAGCTCAGCTATCATTTGTGATAGCCAGATCTTCTTAAAAAGAGCTACAGTATACAGCTCAGTGGGCCTTACCTGGTAAAATAAAAAGTTGAAATTGTAGTTTGTATAGCTTCTTTAGTAAAGTTTTAAAGTGCATTGCTCTGCCTGATAACAGTGGGTCACATGGTCCAGTTGGCGCTCGCTTGATCTACAAACTCTGTGGTGGAGGGACAGCCTCTTGGTGTAACGTGCTGCAATGAGCACTGGTCACGTTTATTTGCACAAATATTTCTACCCATTTGTGATGGACATGAAACTCATGGTAGGGTAGAATATACATAATCTATAACAACAACAACGAAGACGAGCAATAAGACTGTTAATTCATTTCTGCAAAAAAAATTCCGATAAAAAATGAAGTAACAATGACCTTCATAAAAATGGTGACGATGGTGAGTCCTGCTGGGTTGCGGGCTGCGTCCGAAACGTTTGTGTAGAGCTCGTGGTTGTAGTGAATTAGCTGCACCTAGAAAAAGCAACCGAGTGTCAGTGCCTCGCAATTCACCGCCACCGTTGCAACGTGCAAGGATAACAGAGGGTGAAACTTTACACGAGCAGGTACTTGCTGAACTTCTTTCGCACCATACATAGCCAACCGTGCTAATCAGTTTAATACTTAACACTGCAGGATAACCACTTGGTGAGACAAACACGCGAAGAATGTAAAAAACACGTGGAAAAGCGATAAAAAAAATCCACTACTGCCACTCACACAATATTATTTGGACTTCTGGAACAGATTTCAATGGGTGGGACTTAATTTAGTTATTGAAAAAAGAGGGCACACACTTCAAAGTGTGACCAAGCGATCAACTGATGAGACGAGGGAAGGGAGACGGATTGCTGGCGAGGGAAGGGAGGGAGATGAGGGAAGGGACATGGATTGCAATTGTGCACGTCTGATATCAGAAAAGTCAGAAAGTGGGAATTAAGATACAGTAGACTCTCGATTAATCTGCGCTAATAATGGGGAGGATGGCTGCAGATAATTCAAAATTGCGGATAATACAAAAATATAACCATTTTCCATGGATCTCTCTGCCAAAAATTAATAGACCGATTGAAACACGTACTCAGTGACAACACTTTCCTGCTCTACTGTACTATAGAGGCGATCACGTGGATTTCGAATTAACCAGAGCACTTATTTCTTTGGTTTAAGCACGTGACTTAGAATAAACATTTCCAAGAAAAACAATGTATAAATGTGTTTAGATTATTAATTTGGGCTGATGGGAAATTCCATGAGTAATTAATTTACGTCAAAATCTCAGGTGTGCGTGGTTAATCTGCAAATCGGAAAAATGGCACGCAGATTAATCGAGAGTCTACCGCACCTTCATCTGGAATCGTAATTAAATTAATGATGGCACTGTCGCGATCGTCGATGTTGCACTTGCCTCTCCTGCAAACGCCTGTCCGTTCAGCATGTGCTCTGAGCCTTGTCCATCCTTGCTGCCAAAATGGAGTCGGATCTCCTCCAAGCGGTTGCCATAGACGATGGGGCCTCCAGAGATATTGACGAGGTGGTCCTTGTCCAAGCGTAGCGTCATGTGCCGACCCGTGTTGTACATCGTGCCACTGACCTAGAGCAGCAGGGTCGAAAGCGCTTCCGTTTGTCATTGTTACGTACTTCTAACACAGTCTTTGTTGTTCTCCTATAATGTGGCAGTGATAGTAATTGCGTTCCTGAAGAACACCGCGTTATGGGAAAATCGTGTTATCATAAAAAATATACAATATAGGGTAAAGCAACAGTCCGCGATAACTCGTGACATGCGTACGCAGGCCAAACAAAGACTGAGATGCGTGGGTAGCATCTAGAAGCATCCAGCAGCATCCCAGTGTCTTGTGCGATGCTACGCCGAGGCAGCCGTGAGACTGCTTATTCCGACTCACACGACGTAGTTCCGGTCACTTGATCACGTTATATATAATTCGCGTCATGAAAACAATACGCAGAGTTATAGGAGAACAGACTATACTGTGCACAAAAACCCAGAAAAGTGGAAAGCTAATTAACCAGATTCAGAGCACAAGATTAATAATAAATAGAAGGGTATTTAAGGTGTCTTTTCTAAAGTATTTGTCGACATAAGTAAGACCTTGCGGAATCCCACGGTTGGGGATGCTCCGCTCTACAAACTGGAATCCGTTCACATGTAATGGAGGTCACTATTCACAGCATACACACTTGATAGGGTCCCATTGTCTCTATGAACGATACATTTTAGATTAACGGTTTTGTTTGCGATATTACTGGACCCACCAATTTCGGTCAAGCGGAGCGCTCCTAAGTGGACTTCTATGAGCATTTTAAGAGCAACTGGCTGCTCGCTTTTCAATGGTTAATGTGCGTTGCTTATGCAAACAGCTCTCTGGAATACTTTAATATTATAAACTATGTTTTTAAAGTGAAAAAAATCATATTCTTAGGTTTTTTCGGTAAAGTCACGTAGGTAAAACATTAAAATTAATAAAAGTAAAATCAAATAAAAATCACGACGTTTCGGAGGCAACACAAGCTTCCGTCTTCAGGTGGAACCGTCACAGCCACGACAGCTGTATCAAGTAAATGAGAGATTGCAGGAGCTACCACTCCGTTTATATAATGGTTGGAAAGGGGGGGAAGGGCCAAGTACAGCACACTTTTTATTCATATGGTAAGGTGAGGCTTAAGAGGGTGAGCCTTTGTTATGGAGAGGTACGGTTTGTGACTCAACCTGTGACAAGGAGACAACAACTAAACATGGTAGACCTGTAATAGTTGTCTGTCAAATAAGATTGGCCAAATAAGTGTAGTTAAATCTTTTTTGCATGGTTAATCACATCTTTCCAATGATTACTCAGATTATTTTGAGATGGGTGGTGGTGGGAATCCGGTTTCACCACCCATCTCAAAAGAATTCTCTCATCAAAACGCTATACCACAGAGCCCATGGCATTTCTGACCAACACCACCTGGCCGGTGAATTAAGACATGTACATCGGGCCCTCAGGATGAATGGATACTCTGACCGCACTATCCGCCAAGCTGTTTCTCCCACCACACAGAAACAGCCACATGAAACTCCGACCAAAACTATCACGTTACCATACATAGCAGGCGTGACCAAAAAGATCTCCAAAATTCTAAACAAACATAAGATCCAAGTCCGATTCAGTACAGTGCATAAAATCCGTGATCTGATTCCATCTGTGAAGGATGTCGTTCCTGACTTACAGTATCCTGGAGTCTACAAATTGAGTTGCATTTGTGGTGATTGCTACATTGGAGAAACAAAACGTCATGTTTCTGATCGTGTCCACGAGCACAAGTCAGATCTGAAACACAGAACTGATTCTTCGGCCGTTGCCGATCATTGCTACAACTCGATGGGCTCTCATGAAATTGTCTTTTCTGAAACCAAGGTTCTCTGCAAACCTCCTGGCTACCATCAAAGGTTTGTACACGAAGCCATACAAATATACAAACACAGACATAATTTCAACCGTGATGATGGTTACAAACTGAGTAATCATTGGAAAGATGTGATTAACCATGCAAAAAAGATTTAACTACACTTATTTGGCCAATCTTATTTGACAGACAACTATTACAGGTCTACCATGTTTAGTTGTTGTCTCCTTGTCACAGGTTGAGTCACAAACCGTACCTCTCCATAACAAAGGCTCACCCTCTTAAGCCTCACCCTACCATATGAATAAAAAGTGTGCTGTACTTGGCCCTTCCCCCCCTCTCCAACCATTATATAAACGGAGTGGTAGCTCCTGCAATTTCTCATTTACTTGATACAGCTGTCGTGGCTGTGACGGTTCCACCTGAAGACGGAAGCTTGTGTTGCCTCCGAAACGTCGTGATTTTTATTTGATTTTACTTTTATTAATTTTAATGTTTTACCTACGTGACTTTACCGAAAAAACCTAAGAATATGAATCCTTGCAGTCACGAAAGCTTCCAATCTAGAATGAAACAAATCAACTTCTGATCATCTTGGAACAAATTAAGCCTTTTAACGTGAATTTCCTACATTTAATTTACGATCATTTTAATTAACGACAGTTTTTGTGGAATATAATAAAGGTTTTTGGGTTAGATCACACAAGTATAAATGTGTCATTAACTCACCACCACCCGACACGGCCAGTAAGGTTTGTCACGTAAACAAACGTGCTAATTAGTTACTAGTTCAGCACACCGGTGTATTGGAGAGTAAATCCACAACATTTGCCACTTGACTACTGTAATGTTTCGCCGGTAATTACATCCAGCATCACCATAATTCTGGAAAATAAAGAATTGGCACGTTTTGTTTACATGACAACCCTTACTGGTTGTCTGTGTTCGGTGGTGGCAGGTTAACGAGATAACATTTATATTTATGCGACCTAACCCAGAAACTTATATTATGAATGTTGGTCGCGAAAGCCTACGTGTCAAACGAATTATTATCATTAACTGAGGGACCACTGTATTTCATTGGAAAAAAAACTGGGATCTCAGCATCACCCGCACCTCTGATTAGCACGGTTGGCTAAGTACGTTGCGAAAGAAGTTCAACATACATACATACATATGTACATCACCCAGGTATAAATTTGGGATTGTTGTGCCCTCTACAGAGGCCCCCAGGCCTGCATCTGAGAAACCGTATCCCGAGATCCACAAGAGCCACATCGAAAAGTAAGCACTATGCCGTCAACATTTAAGATCATCTGACGGACACACCTCATTTTAGTTGCCGAGCACACGACCAAAACCCCAAAAACATCGAGCGGCCAGAAAAGAGGTCGTGACAAAATGTGTGCAGACAAACACATATGCACGCTTGAACCTCACAGACGGCACTGGCAGGAAAGTGGTGGTGATGGAAGGGTTGCTGATTTACAAACTGGAACAGGCATCTTGAGTTGTGCACACGATAGGATGTTTTTTATGTTTGGAGATCACCACCGTTTTCTTTCCCCCTCAATCACCTGTGTAAACTTGGTTAGATATCAAGAGAAGGATGTTTTTTCACGTTGGTAGATAAAAGTATTCATTCGACAGGCATCTAACGCGTAGGCTTTCGCGACCAATATTATTCACGGTAAACGTTTGTGTGGGTTAGATCGCTTAAAGGTAAAGGCGATGAAATCAAATACATTTTACTGTACATTTGTGATTCCTCCAGTATAAATAAATATTCTGAGTCTGAAATTAACCCCCTGGGTCCTTTCACAGAGATGACATCACCAAACCCCGTTTATGATCGAAAACAGGAAATCTTCAAAATTCTGGCAATCGTCTGAAGAAACTGGTTGCAAAGCACCAGCAAAACGTGGTTAACTGAAATTTTTTGCTCTGTAACACACATATTCTTAGGTTTTTTCGGTAAAGTCACGTAGGTAAAAAATAAAAATTACTAAAAGTAAATTTAAAAATAAAATAAAATTCACGACGTTTCGGAGGCAACACAAGCTTCCGTCTTCAGGTGGAACTGTCACAGCACGATTGCTGTATCAAGTAAGAGAAATTCCAAGAAAACAGTCCTTGTATATATGCTGGTTGAGGGTGGGAGGAGCCAAGGCAGGCCCCTATTATTATTGTGAGGGTCGGTGCGGCTGAAGCACGCTGCTAGGAATGAGCCTTTGTTGTGTAGACTGGTTGAAATGGGAGGTTCCAAGAGTTGTTAAGGTGCGGCTGATGTAAAGGTGCGGTTGCTGTAAATGGGACTGAGCCTTTGTTATGTAGAGGTGGTGCGGCTGAAACCGCTGCTAGGAATGAGCCTTTTTTGTGTAGACTGGTTGAACTGGGAGGTTCCAAGAGTTGTTAAGGTGCGGCTGATGTAAAGGTGCAGCTGCTGTGAATGGGACTGAGCCTTTGTTAAGTAGATGAAACAGCACTTTGCTACTTTGCTGGGATTCATTCTAGATTTGCCAAATATGTGTGGTAAAACTTAAAGCAGGAAAACCAGTGTGTAAAAAAGCAGAATAAACTATATGGTAACTGAAGAATAGTGCCTGTCAAGTAAGATGGTCCAAATATGTGTAGTTAAATATTTTTTGCATGGTTAATAACATCTTTCCAATGATTACTAAGTTTGTACCCATCATCACGGTTGAAATTATGTCTGTGTTTGTATATTTGGATGGCTTCGTGTACAAACCTTTGATGGTAGCCAGGAGGTTTGCAGAGCACCTTGGTCTCGGAAAAGACAATTTCATGAGAGCCCACAGCATTGTAGCAATGATCGGCAACGGCGGAAGAATCAGTTTGCCGTGTTTCAGATTTGACTTGTGCTCGCGGACATGATCAGAGATATGACGTTTCGTTTCTCCAATGTAGCAATCACCACAGCTGCAACTCAGTTTGTAGACTCCAGAGTATTGTAAGTCAGGAATGACATCTTTAACAGATGGAATTAGATCACGGATATTATGTACTGTACTGAATCGGACTTGGATCTTATGTTTGTTTAGAATTTTGGAGATATTTTTGGTCACGCCTGCCATGTATGGCAACGTGATAGTTTTGATCGGAGTTTCATGTGGCTGTTTCTGTATGGTGGGAGACACAGCTTGGCAGATGGTGCGGTCAGAGTAT